TACTTAAAAATCAGTTATGTACTACAGGTCACAGTATAATGTTAAACTTAGAAAACATAGCCAAATAACAACCCAATTTTTTGTCCTAATAAAGAGGACATACACATGATCTCTAATTTATAGGCACATCTTGCCCTTTGTACAACACATTTGACGTAAAATGCCCATTCGCACTAATCTTTGCCTATCAAAAACCACAGGTCACATTGACATTTTTCTTCTATCTCCTACAACAAGGCTGTTGTACAAGAACTTATGAAAAAATACTTTTGGTTACTTTTTATTATCCACTTATCCACTTATCCTGATTAAAGTCAGTGACATAATTGTTTGTTAACTATATCAAGAATTTAGGAACAGTAATGACTATCATGTGATTGCAGAAAAGCATTAGTTTGTAATGTGTTACCTCCATCAGTAATTGATGAACCATCTACGAGACTAACTTTTTATTGCTGGACAACAGGAAAACTTGATCCATAATCATACTGTATATTAACCAAAGATGTATATGTGACATTCTGGCTGCAGCAAACAAGGCAGTGACAACAACCACTGGTAGTTGAGTGTAATGAGCTAAAGAAGTAGAAATTATTTCTCTGAAGTTGATGTATACAGACAGAGCTTTAATGGACTGAAAAGGCTATCAATGTTACTTTAATTAATAATAATTTCACTATAACTCTGCTGAGCAATTTAAATATGACTCAGGTTTAAAAACTTTCTAAAGTCAGCAACCATGATTTCCTATGTTCCACTGTTCATCCTACTTTTGAATGATAAAAAACTGATAGCGACTTCCTTTTATTCAAAGCTTTTGCTGAAAATTCAAAATGCTAACTCTGATTGGCTTATTCCATTGAAGCTAGTAAAGGGTATTAGGTGTTCAGTAAAAAATCAATCAATCAATCAATCAATCAAATTGTGAAGAAATGTTTCCACAGACCAATGTTTGCTTCAAAGTTCAAACAGATTAATAAGTCATGAATGTTTTGAACCTGCATTGTAACCACCTTCTTGTCTTTTTTTAGCCTAAATTTACTTTGGATTACAATGCTATGCAGAAATGGCTTACACTACCCCTGTTGCTTGTTGCATTCCTGTTGAGTAGAACAAGTGATACAAACTACACTAACAAAGCAACAGCATGAAAACAGTGTGTAGCTCCAGTAATGTTTAAAAATGTGCAAGATCCCTTTAAGGTGGGAATGTAAGTTTGTGCATGCTTTACAGCAAGCTGCACTTTGAAAACTCTTGGATAATGTCTCTCAAATTCAGCGTCAATATGAAAAATCTCTGTCTTTGTAATGTAACAACCTGTCTAACAACCTGTGGAAGACTGAAGTTAAGCATAATTTTAAAATGACAGAGAAAGCGGTGCTCCTCGCACTCCAAATACAATCCTTTAACTCAGCTACTGAGAGAAGATTATTTTTCCTTCAACCAACGTGTCCGTTTTATACAGGTATTAGCCATGCAGCACAGTTGCTACAAACATGCTAATAATGTATGCCAAAATTTTCTGAAAAGAACTGAACACATAGCTTGGGTATATCCTAACTTTTGGTTTAGGCAAATTAAAAGGATATCCCTACCCTTCTTAAGTTTGGAGAAATAGGTCAAACTGTGACACAATCAATAAAACCATTCTGATAAATCCATTCACAAAAATTTGCCAGGCTAATTTTACTGCTGAAATAAAAATAATACCCCCATAATGCTTATAACTAGTAATCCAAAACGCTTTGCAAAGCATGCAGGGAACATAGTGAACATTTATCTTCACAGTGTAGCCTGCTCATTGCTGGCAGAGCATTTGCACTTTATATATTTAGTTATCTCTTCACTTGGATTACATTCCTGTCCCCTGTCCAGCACTTGCAAACTCCGTTTAACAGCTCAAACATCAATACTTTGCAATATGTTTACGTGTTATGCACAGTCTCATATTCCTGTGGGGATGAGATTAAGCATGTGCCACTCACAAGTGATTTCTTGGTATTTTGTTAACATAGTATCTTAATTATTTTCCCACTAGGACTTAAAGTCTGTTGATGGCGCACACAAAGACTCAGTGGTGAGTTTATGGAGACCTTATCACTTAATGGTATTTGTTTCAATCTCATGAGACATCACAATAACATTCTTACAGGCCCTAAATGCCGTGCTGTGTCTGCAGTGCTCAATAGGCTATAGTGAGTTTTCAGTGAGCTTATCGCACTTTATTGCATCTTTATGTCCTGTAACAGGGGTTTGTTCGACTGGTCTAAGTAGTCTCAAAAAGGGCAGCCTGATATCTCAACACACAACATGACCATTACGTAACGCAATTTACGGAATACCCCACGGGCCAATTAACGGATAACGATATTTTGTAACAATTTCAGTAATCTGCCAGCCTTGCATAACGGCAGGGCCTGGCTGCGAGAACAGATGCGCAGGCTGGCATATTGCTAATGGATTGTAAACACGGGCTGCCTATAGGCCTCGGCTGCCTCAGATATTATTCTGGTGGAGAAGAGCCACCTTCTCTCCCCGCCACCTGCAGAATGCGCAAGTCTATAACAGCCCACTGCAGCCCCGTGGCCTCTTGATTTATTGCACTGCACAAAACAGATAGCAGTGGGCTTTAGCTAAAATCATTATATATTTATGCAGTGGCAGCAGAAAAGCAGTCTGCCGTAGAAAAAGACACATAAAAATTATGCATAGTGGCCTTGAAATAAATAACAAACGGCGGCAGCCCACCACCCCCCCGTATTGATTTGGATGTAGATGCACAGCAGAAATCCGATGATTCCGCTCAAAGGGTGCTTACCTCAAGCGTTCGTATCTCTTTTTGTGTCAAGTCGTTGGATGTGGCACATTTGGTCCGTAAACCCTCCAAACTAGAAATGCTTATGTCTATCATATTTTGCACCAACTCGCACTGCTGCAAGGCTTTCTGCAAACTAAGATGCTGCTCCTCGCTTTTTGTCATCTCCTCGTTCATAGTTTTGTGAACAGTGGACGTTATTTTTCCGTTGCACTTAACAAAAAAAGGAATGAATTAATTCAAAAACAAGGGGGAAAAATATTGATGATTATTCAGGAAAAGAGCGTGGTGAAACCCACGGAACGGAGCAACCTGCAAAACGCCATGAAACGAGATGTTGAAGGTTTAGAGACGGGCTTTGAGCCGTGAGAGAATCGACTCCATTGCAACAACAGTCCTCGTAGTTCCTGCTGTTTCATCAAGGTGTCTCTGGTTGTGGGCTAAATCAAACACAGTATGAAGATACCAAGCGGGACTACGCGGTCTGCATCCATTGGGTTCCACTTCTTTCAAATGTATGTTTGGAGAAAAAAAAAGAAAAGAACAAGAAGAAGCTGTTCAGCGCACCATAAGTAGACGCATCGGGGAAAAGCCTGCTGGTTTTAAAGGTGCTGATGTGCGGACTGGATGCAGGTACTCCCTGTCTCCCTAGGCAGCAGCTGCATCCCGGTTCTCTCCCACCACACCGACATGTTTCCTGTCAATCAAACCCACAGCAACAGCATCGCATCGCCCAGGCACCACCGTGAGGGGCCGTTCTCGCGAGATTACAGAGCAGAGCAGAGAGCTTACTATGCTTGAAACGCCAGGCTAGAGTTAGAGACAAAACTATCCCTTTTTACATGTTTGAAAAAGATGTCCTTTTATTGAATATGTATGATATCTATTAGTTTACTACAGGCTCATGCTGCGTGCACACTTATATAGCCTGCAGTCCACAGCCACACACACCACTTCAAAATGTTTCTAGAGAATGATTTAAATATGCTTTAAAGTTAAATGGAAAAACAAATATTCTTTTCCACTGATGAGACATTTAATTTTGGCATAGTGAGACAACTCTGTACTATGCCTGTTGATGTTTGTATGTGAGTGGAATCTACTGTTTTTTATTGTGTACCTTATCTCATTTCTTCTTCCTCTGTGCTCAGGTTTAATTTGCAGAAGAGATCTTGATCACAGTGAGGCTCCTCAGTTAGAATATAGGTTATAACGCAGACATTACAAATAGAAACTGGATTGTTCAAAAACAGCAATTGCAGGAAAAAAAATATAAACCAAACATTAAGGATTGAATGCTGTCGAAATGCAGGCTGTGATATTAAATCGTTATCCTTGACTGATGCAGTATAGTATATATATACCCTCCAAAGCATCCTGATTCCCAGGCTGCTTTGGAGGTTTCCAGCAACAAAGTCAAGATGATTAAAGAGATAGGACATGGTAAACAAAATCTTGTGTACTTTACTGCTCACAACTTTTTTTCACTAACCTATGATGATCAAGAAAATGTTTCAGAGAAACTTGTCGTGTAAAGTATAGGTTAGGTAATATTTCAAATTCAGGCGCTAGATAAATATATGGACACACTGCCCTTTTTGACATATGAACAGATATGTGTATTTTAATGTCAGCACCATTACCAGAAGAAAATATTCCACATGTAACAGAAAATAAATGCAAGAAACATGTAGAAAACATTTGTGACACTCTTTGTAAACTGAGATTAAGATGTCAGTGTCGTATAAAAGTGAACAAACTACATCTAAGAAGGAAAGGTGTAAACTTTCTTTTTTTAAAATTTAACAAGACGTTTAGTGACAGGTGACTTTTATTTAAAAAATCAAGATAGCCAGAACACTTTTTTTCTTTTATTTTGGTGATTCAGACCTCAGTACCATATGACATCAAAGACTTGTAGTTCTTGCTGTTGGGAAAAAAACCTACTGCTAAGTTTGATTTTCACTTTCACTGATTAGGGAAAGGAATTGTTCAAAATCGGAGAGACAATATTTAAAAATGAAAGAGGAGATATATACCTTTGTTGTTATAATGTTTGATATTGTGTATCTTTTATTGTTACAATTTCTAAATCCCGTTATTAATTTTTTATAGCAGAGAACAAGTCACCGATACTCCGCCCATGAAAATGACAATGTGATTCCATTGGTTGTACGTGGTGACGTAGGACGTACGTTTTGTTTGCGGAGCGCGCCAAACAGGGCCATCAACAGTAGTAATCGCAGTGGCTTAAACTCTGGAACCCTTTTGCTCAGCTTGGCGTAATATTCACGCTTGGTAGGATACATGGCTTCTACAAGTAAAGCGCCGCTACAGACCAGAAATTTACCATGGTGAGCTGAAAGTCGCTGTTTATCACAGAATGGTTCAAAAAGTTATTGCTAGCTAACATGCCTACTGTCAAGCTAGCTGCTCGCTGCACTGAGTAGACTGATGCATTCTGTGAACTGCTAGCTTTATATACATTTAGAAATGACGTTAGTTATTACGCACAGTTGTAACATGGAAGGAAATTAGCTTACCTTCAGTTCGGCTTACGTAAATCTTATCAGTCCATCAAGCATTAACATGGTGCCACTTCAGCAACAGGTTAACCGAAAACCTGCAGCTTCTGACTGCGGTGAAAGTACTGTAAAGTTGACGTTTTGTTTATAATAAAGGGTGATATTACGAAAAAAATATGGATGCGGAACTAAAAAGTGGCCATGTGTAATGTGATATGTCAACGTTTGTCAGCGCTTATCATATGTGTCCGTAGACGTTTCAATAATTTGCCTTAAAATTCTTTCGAGGTTGCTTATTTGCCATGCTGTAAACGCAGCAGTTATTGCAAGTATGAATGCGTGTGTGTGTGTGTTTTCCTGTTTCAGGGTTGAAAAATACAGACCACAGACACTTGATGATCTGATTTCACACAAAGATATTCTGAGCACTAGTAAGTATGTGGACTGCCGCAATAACAATACTATAAAACTGTATAACATGACACTTATGGATAATCAAACTACTTTT